AAAAAAAAAAAAAAAAAAAAAGAAGTGTATTCTGTAAGAAGTGAAAAGGGTATTCAAATTGTGAATTGTTATTGCACATTTTCCTTCGATATTATTATTCAAATAAAATTGTCATTAATTTTTAAACATTTATTTCTCGTGGAATATTTAAACCCTTTCACGTCCCTAGGAGGTAGCGATATATTTATTTAAAGGAATTGTATCCCTGGCGAGGATTTGGAAGATAAAACCCTCCAAAAGCAGTCCGTATGCCATGAAAAAGGAAGAAGAGGGAGAGCCCGGGAGTGGGGAAGGGAGGAGGTGCGGACAGAGCGGCTGGCACGTCTGGAAGTGGTGCCGTGTGGCATGGCCTAGCGTCGGAGCCAGCCCGGGCCTGGCCTGGCCTCCTGTAACCGCTGCCCCAACGCGACACGGTTTGGTTTCGGGCCACCTGAATGCAAAGGGAGTGAGTGTGGCTCCGGATTTGACACGTGTTCTGTCTACACGAGAAACGAGTGACACCGTGAAGCAGGAAATCCAGGGTGGCAGCATTGTCATCCTAGGTGGAAACTGAAGCTGTGGGGATCTTGTGGAAATCCCACGTCCTAAGTCTCTAAGAGCTCTTTCCGCATCCCTGGTTCAGATGTGCAGGGACTGCGCTGAGGGATCTTGGATGATTCCGTGGACAGCACCCTTCCTTCCTGATGCTCTCAGAGTTCCTGGAGGCTTCCACGTGGGGAGCTCTGGTCTGCCTCTCCAGGGCCGTGCTCCCCCCCGTCCCCACAGCTGAGTGGCCTTTTCTGTCTCCGTTCTCCCTGGGAGCTCATGAGCTGCCCGGGGCTGTCACGGAGTGAGAACACAGGGTGAATCTAAGCTGCCCAACAGGCCACTGGCTGTGCCACTTTTGCTAGTTTAGAAGTCGCTAAAGTTCTTGTTCCACGTGAGTCTTGTCACTCTTCCATACTCTGTGGAAGTCCTTCATAGACTTCATTAATTTAATGAAACTGTGTGGCTCTGTTTTTTGTTTGTTTTGGGTACTGGTGATCGAACTTGGGTCCTTGTGCTTGTGAGGCGGGCAGGGGAACCACTGTTCTGAAATCCTGAAAATACCGACTTCCTCAGAAGTGCATGGCGTGGTCAGGTCACTGGTGTGAGAGAACATGGGTGGCCCGGGGCAGGGGGAGGCTGTGTCCGGACTCCGATGCTTGCTTCACTGGTGGGAAAACTGTGTGGGCTCTGAGTGAGCCGCTCGGCATGGGAACATCGTCACCTGGAGGTCCTGTGCTTCCCGTGCGTGTGAAAGGACTGGAAGGGACAGGGAGGGGAGGACACACCTGTCCACAGAGAGCTCTCTGGGCTCTGCCTGAGACTGAAGTCCCTGTGCCCGCCTGCTCTGGTCTCCGGGTGCTTCTGAGTGCCACTCTGCCCCACGTCTTGTCCACAGTAACTGTGACCTTTAGGCAGAACTCTGTCCCCTGTGTTCCCGTGGTCCGCTTGCCTTGAAGGTGTGACCGGACCCACCCCCTCCCCGCATGGGTTTTCTCTGACTCTGGGACGTGTTTGTAGATGCAGCATGCTTCTAATGGTCCTCCCATGGAATCTAGGAATTTAGGAAATACTGGCCGAGTTCCTCAGGAGCATCGTATTGTTATTTGCTCTTTCATAAGCACCACATAGTGGCTGTGCCACGTGATGAAGGCAGCCTGACCTCACTGGCACCCTCGCCTCACCCAAGACTTCCTGTGTGAGAGCGTCCTGGCTGGAGGTGTGCCCTTATCCTCCAGCATGGACATCCTGGGCTTCTCTCAGAAGGATCTGGAGCTGGGGCCAGCACCGGCTTAGAGTAGGAAGGAGAAAGTGAGAAGCCCCTCATTTCCTGAGGTGGGGAGTTGAGGAGACCGATGCCACCGGAGATTCAGTTTAAAGTTGCAAAACTATTAAAGGGAGCCTCTCAAACTACAAAACAAAATTTTTAGTTCTACTTTTTACCTTGCTATCTGGAAATGGTCAGATTCTAATCATGATATGACAGAAATTGAGCAGAAGCAAATGACAACATTGCTATAATTCAGTAAGTCACCTATCCCCAGAGACCCGCACTGCAAGTCAAGGCCCTTCTGCCCCCCCATCCACACCCAAATGCACACACGCTGTCTTCGTGTCCCTGTGCACTGACCAGGAATTGAGGGAGAGCCTGGCAGAGGCTTAACCTGATTTTGCAAAACCACATCCATTTGACATCAGATTATTTTGCCCTGTGGTTCCTGAACATGTGTCAGTTTTTGCCCCAAAGTATCTTAGAGACTTCCTGGCGTCTGTCAGAGAGGAGGGCACTCAGCTGGAGCAGGAGCTGGGAAGAAGTCCCTGGGGAGACTGAGAGGCAGAGTGGCCGGGCAGACCCACTGGGCAGCCAGGCAGTGCCACGCCCGAGCTAATGGGGGTGAGGGCCACGCAGGGAGCTCAGGTGCTGCAGAGAGCTGGGAGTAGCCGAGTGGCCCTGACTTCATGAGCAAGGGCTGAAGCCCAGAGTGTTTTTGGAAACAGAAACAAAATGGAGATTTGTGTTTCCTGCCTGGAATGAAATGGTTTGGGCTTGTTTTTTGTAAATGCAAATATATCTCGCATTTATTCCTAAATATAAAGAAAAGTGCTGATTGCAAAGAGCCAAACACTGCAGAAAATTTCAAAGCAGAAATGAAAATGACCTACTGCTCACAGAAACCCATTGTTGAAAACACTTGTCTTATTTTCCATATATATTCACTGTTCACTTTTTATTGTTACAAAAATGGCCTCAGATGGTCATGCTGCTTTGCTGTCTACTTGTTTCTGCTGGACAGCTCCATGGCAACTGCCTTTTGATGGCAAAGAGTGATGTGATTGTGGATACAAACCTCTCTTTACAGGACAGTGACTTCTTTTATTTCACTCATCAAGGTGTGCACTTCAGTTATTTTCTAACATTCTTTGTTGCAATTGCGAATACCCCACTGTGAGGGAAACTCTTCAAGTATTGCTGGGTCGCAGGGACCCGGAGAGTGGGGCCCTGCTGTGCTGCGGCTTCAGGGATCCGAGGCCTCAGGCCCCGGGGAAAAGCATGCACTTCTGAGAAGGTGTCTTCTTGACCGATCTCCTTTCTCATTTTAGAAAAAGACCCATCATGGATCCTGCACTTTTCACCGGGTTTAATTCCTCATGAACATTATGCAATGTGCTGATAACTGTCCAAGAAATATTTTCTTCCAGTTGGCTAATAGAATATAAAAAGTTAAAAAATACCCTGCTATGCATATGTCCACAGACTGCAAATACAATGAAGTCCAACCTATGTGAGTTAGGTTATTGGCAAGTTTATAAGTGAGGAACGGTCTTTATTGAATTATCTTGTTTATCCAAAGGGATTTCTTTAGAATCCTAGAGTTGACAAAAGTGCCAAGTTAGAAATGTAGAAACTATGCTTTTCAGATTATTTACCCTGTGTGAAACATTTATACCTAAGCCATTTAATGAAGAAATGAAGAAGCATCTTCCCCATCATCCCTGCCACCCGCATTTCTGAGACCTACGTCTGCAGATGGCTCTGAGGAGGGCAGCGGGAACCAGACCTCCCGCACACGGCGCCATGGCCACCCTCAGCACACAGCCTGTCGTGTTCACGCCGAAAGTCCCAGGCCCTTGGGGACAGCATCAGAGCCCTGCAGAGACAGAGGCAGTAGACCCTGGATTACCTTTCCAGAGAGCTCACAGGGTGAGAAAAAAGTCAGAATTACCAACCATTGGGAACTGTAGAAAAAGAAACAGAGAAAGGTTTCATGTGACTGTGAGGCAAGGGTTTCTAACTGAAAAAAGGAGAGAACTCGTAAGATGGGAGAAGCAGTTGGCGAGAGAAACCTGCAGCCTCTCGGCAGGGTGCTGTGTACTGAACCGAAGACCACTGGGTGGAGGGACTGGGAGGGAGTAGGAGGGTGTGACAGCCAGACGTCAGAGAATCTCCCGTTAGTGGCAGCGAAACTAAATGAGTACAGATGAGT